GGTTGGTGCAGCTCCTGCTCCTCCGGGACGGGGCTCTCCTGTCCTGGGGACACTCGCCCCAGCCTCAGCCCGGCTCCTCGCGGGGTCCCTCCCCCTCGGAGGCCTTTTGTTTCTTTATTTCTTTTTCCCCGTCTTCCTACCTTGATAGGAGCGCGGACTCTTCTCACTGTAGCATTCCAGCTGGTCTCTCTTTACATCTCAGGCCGAATTCATAAATTTTCAGGATGGTTTGAAGGTTATCTAGGTAATTTGGTGGGGACAGGTGATTTGCGGACCCTGCTCTTCCGCCGTCTTGCCCCTCCCCTCGGATGTGGAGATTACTTTAAAAAAAATCTTAATATATGCACACATACATACATACTTACCTGTACTTCAGCAAGAGGTGTCTGCCCCATAGCCCCTGGATGAGCCTTGCAGCTCCTTCAAGAAAGGAATACAGCAGCATGAAGACCAGTTCTGCATCTCTTAGGTAGCTCTCCTGCAGCCCCATTTAGTATCATTGGCTTCCATCTTATAGTTGAGAACTGGGTCCCTCAGCCAGCCCTGGCTTCAAGGGGGTATGAGAAAGTATGTATTTTAGCTGTCCAGCCTCTTTGGCAACAGAGGATACAGGAGAGTAAGGATTCACTGTCTAAAATTAGGAAAGTTCAACACAGAAGTTTGAAGCCTCAGAATTTAGAGAAACCAGACATAAAGGAGAGGGGTGTGGGAAAAAGCTGAAGAGGGGGCATTGTTGGAAATGCATATAGTGAGCACTCAAAGTGCCAAGGCTCCCCCCACCACCCGCACAAGGTAGTTTAGTCTCTGGAGACCTTGTATGGAACAGTGTGAAGACCACGTGAGGCCTGCATTCTGATTTGTGGCACACTCATTCCCTTCTTCTCACCCTGGAACTGGGTGGATGTATCCTGGAAAGGACATGAAGGATTCTTCCTTGGGGAAATTAAGAGTCCTTGAGGAAAGATTATAGACACTGACATTTGGATTTTAATCTCTCCATTGCTTCTACCACTGGACAAAAATCTACCTCGGGGCAAAAAAATCACTGCTCCAAACCTGGGAGTAAGGATAGTTGCCTTCTCTTACAGTGATGTCTCTGCTTTATGTGTTGAATACTGGGTGGGGCAGTAGCCTGGTCTGCTTGGGTTTGCCTTTTCTGACATGGAACTACAGCTCTTTGAGTGGGGGAGGGCAATGGGGACCCAGTATTCTTGGCCTGCTGTGTTTGGGTAGAGCATTTACCATGTGGGTGTGGGCTGGGTGGAGGAAGATAGCCCTCAACCCCTTAGCTGTACTTACCTAAAATTAAACCTCTGTCACAGGGAGCTTGGGGGCTGGGGGTTGGGGAGTAGGCAATGCTGGCAGCATGGCCTAGGAAGGAGCACAGATACTCTACCTTGACTGGGAACTGGGAAGACAGAGAGCCCTATATTTTTTGCCATATTCACCCAAAGTGGAACTTTTCCTCATCCTGAACTGGGGAATCAAGGAGGGAGTGTGACCAGGCAGCAAGAATACAATAGCATGGGATGCCTGGGTGGGCAGCTGCCTTTGGCTCAGGGCATGATCCTAGGGTCCCTGGGTTGAGTCCTGAGTTGGGCTCCCTGCAAGGAGCCTGCTTCTCCCTCTGCCTGTGTCTCTGCCTCTCTTTCTGTCTCTCATGAATAAATAAAATCTTAAAAAAAAAAAGTGTCTAAGAGCACCTGGCTCCAGTACTCTCAAACAGACCAGGTTCAGCCACTCACCACAGATAAAATCTGAAGACTGAGAGATGAGTGGTGGTGAGTCAGGAAAGGAATTTGTATCAGTGAGGCCAACACGGGGAAGGCCATGGACTAGTGTCTCAAAAGCTGTTTCAGAAGTACTAAAAATAATTCTAGGTTTCTACAAGGACAGTGTGGGACAAAGGTTGATGGGTACATGTGCTGGGCAGTAAAGGTCAGGTCTGTCATGGTCTTGGGGTCAATCATGCGAGGTCTTGCTGGTATCAGGGCAGTTGTTACTGCTTGAGGGAGTAGTTTCCAATCCTCTAGGTCTTTTACCTGAGTTAAGACATATGCTGGAAAGAAGAACGAAATCATTTAGAAAGTACAGTCTGAGGTCAAAATGGAGGTTAAGGTGACAACTGGGTCCTCTTTTAGGAGCAAGTCAGGGTTTAAGTGTCATAGATGCTTACTGTTCTTATGAGGATTTAGTCGATTTTTGAATAAATTTTTCTTAATTTGCTGTATGCCCTTTGGGCAATTTTAAGAGACTTTAAATAGCTATATTTTTGTAATTTTCATAAGTTATGTAGAAGTGGAATAGAGGCAGTTTATTTTTATGTAGGAGCCATAGAACTCTGAACCTGCAGTCCTCTGCCACCCTCCAGTCTTAAAAGTCATTGGGCAACTGGTGTAGATGAGTCAGAGTTCAGCTACTTACTTAATGGATCCAATTCCAATGTTTGGAGGGATATTTTCCCTCTACACCACCAAGCAATGCTCTGGACACCAACTGGGTGTCCTACAATTCAACTTAATTGTGACACTGATACAAGGCAGGCTGAGCTCCAGTGATATAGTTTTGGAATAGAGGTGAGGTTTGATGGGGTGTGGTCTGGAGCTGATAGCCAAGAAAAAATTCTTGAGACATTTTTGTTGCAAAATGGTGGTTTTATTAAAGCATGGGGACAGGACCTGTGGGCAGAAAGAGCTGCTACACAATGGTTGTGAGAGGTGACTGATTATATTTTGGAGTTGGGGATAAGGAAAAAGGGAGATTTTCAAAAGAATTTTTTTATGCTAAAGAGGACATATTAGACATTGGAAGTCTTGCCATTGTCAAGGTTGTTTTTCCCTCTAATAAAGCATTAACATTAAGATGTTTGGGAGTTTCCTTCTGGAGGTTAGGTTATTGATAAGAATGCTTTTTTCTTGTAAATCACTAAGACATTTTGTAAACTGAGGGAGACTCATGTCTACAGGACTATAATCTCTGTAAATTAACTATTTGTTTTTCCTTTTCCTTAGCTTTAGGGCAGCCAGGAGTACCTGAGGAATGTTACACATATTTCACCAGGGGTGGCAGAGTGGTTTGTGGGGTGTTAGCTTTGTCCTCAGCTTGCCTTCTGCTCCTTCATCACCAGAACCCAGGGGAGCATCTCACAGGACCAGCCAAGAGGGTCCTTGGCTTCATGCAGGTTAGAAATCAAACATGAGCCAGAGAAAGTAAAAACAGAGTTTTTCAAATAGCATAAATGACAAGTAGAGAATAGAGTATCTGGGAGACTTGGGAAAGGAGAATGAGTCTTGTCATTGCTTGGAGTTAGGGGTTTATAGTGCAGAAAGGTCTAGGGTAAAGTTCCTAGGAGTCCAGGGGTTTATTTTGCAGAAGGGTCTAGGGTACATGTTCCTAGGAATCCAGAATAGGGTCTAATCAAAGGTGTCAGGTGAACAAAAGGTGGTAAACCATAGATTGCTGAAAGTTGGGGTATTGATGCCAGTGAAGCAGGAGAGTTAGGTTCTTGTCTCATGGAGTTGAAGAATGAATCTTGTGGACAAAGGAGAGTGAGTAAAGTGAAAGAAGTTTATTAAGTGAGGATACAGAGAAAGCTCTCAGGAGTGAGAGGGGGTCCTGACAGGGATGCCATTGAGGGCTTTCTTGGCTGGCCTTTTGTGGAAAACCTGACTAGAGAGTTGATGGACTTGAGATTATTTGTGCCATCTTGACTGAATGACAGATGACTGTTTTGAGTCTCAGTGATTACTTGATAGCCGTCAAAAGAAGATATTCCCTAGTACTTTGGAACCAGAGGGGCAGACTTATTTCCTTATCTCTGTTTTTATTGCCTTATCTCTGTTGCATCTCAGTGTCCTTGGAATTTCTGGGAGCCTGACCTTGGGACCTCTTGGTGTCCTTGGGATTTATGGGAGCCCAGAGATTTGTGGGAGCCTGACTCTGGGCTTTTCCCTTACCTTTCCTTGCCTAGCCCCATTTGGTTTGAAGCTCATGTTCAGAATCTGGCTCTTCTTGGATGTTATTAGGTGTTTGGGGCCTAGGACAAAACTCAAATGAATACTTTTCTTGCCCCCCCCCCTTTTTTTTAAATCTTCTTGCGTCCCTCTTGAAGTGGGAACATAGCTTCTCTGGTTTATTCAGAGGCAAAAGACAGAACACGAGTAAATGAGGCCTAACAGCAAAAACAGCAGAGACGGAACCTTTCTAAAACGGAGTCCCTTCCACTCCCTTACTTCAACACTATATACTGGGAAGTGGTATTTGATTCAGGCCCACAAGATTGCCCTCCACTTCACAGGCCAAATCCTAAGCCTAGGGGATTACCTGTGCTTCTTACTGGCTGCCATCAGAGGTGCTCCTGACCCTCTTCCTTGGGTTGGATTCATTTGTTAGAATGGCTCACAGAACTCAAATATTTCAATAACTATATCAGACCATTCATTGTATAGAAGGATATATAGGAACATTTAGGTAGAAAAGATGCATAGGGCAAGGTACGGAGAAGGGCAAGGACCTACCATGCCCTCTCCAGGCGCATTACTCTCCCCAAATTGCCAATATTCACCAATCTGGAAGCTCTCTGAAGTTATTTCTTTTGAGTTTTTACGGAGGCTTCATTACATATTCATGATTGATCAAATCATTGGCCATGGTGATTGGTTTAACATCTGCCCTTTTCCCCTGCCTGGAGGTAGGTGGTGGGTGGGACTGAAAAATTCCAATTCTGTAATCACAGGATTAGCTCCCCTTGCCAGGAGTGCAGTAATCAGACTTTGGGGCTTTCCAAGTCACCTCATTAACATAAAAGACACCTGTACTCTTCTTATCACACAGGGAATTCCAAGGATTTGAAGGAGCTTGGTACCAGAAATAGGGATGAAGACCAAATATATATTTCTTATATGTATATATTTCTATTTCTTCTCTCACTCTTTTACTAGTTAACAATAACTTTGTCTTTGCTTACATAGTCCCCTCTCTTTATTCACAAAACTAAACAGGCCAAAAGTGGAGTCATTTGCTCCCAGGACAGCAAACCAAGACTTAATTGCAGTTTCAACCCCTCCAAGAGTGGAATTTTAAACCAATCAGTCTGGAATTTCCTGGTCTGCACTTGATAAGACCCCCTGCCAGAAGGTAACCTTGCCTGAAATAATCTTTTATTTTCTTTTGTTAATTACCTTCTTGTCCTGCTTGTTTCTATAAAATCATTCCATTTTGGACAACTTCTGGGAACTTCTTTTTACTTGCTAGTTGGGATGCTACCCGATTCATGAATTGTTGAATAAAGCTAATTAGGCCTTTAAATTTACTCAGTTGAATTTTGTTTTCTAACAGTCGCTAAGGAGAGTTCTGTCTTTGTCAGCCTAATTCCAGGCTTTTAAAATTACCTAGGATTGGAAAGACTGATGAGAAATGCAAGATGAGAAAAGACTTAAGTGGAGACACTAAGATCTGGGTGGGAGCAGAAGAATGAAGGTGTGGGGTAGGACACACCTAGGTAGTAGGAGTGGAGAAGAGAGGGGAATGGAGCATGAAAGATTTAGGGAGGAGGGGAAATGAGATTTAAGAAGTTTTGATCTAGAGTTATGGATGAATTTTCTATTATGTTCCCTGAGACGTACAAGAAGAGCTTGTATTACTGTTTTAATTCCCTTTTGCTGATGGGCCATAGTCCTCTATATGCTAATCTATGCAAAGATTGATCCATGAAAAGCCCTTATTTTTATTATATTTTAACAAATAAATATTAAATGTACCTCTCTCCTTGGTTTCTTATTAGATTTCTTCTAGGAGCATTTACTATGAAGGATGCTGATCTTTATATTAGACTCAGGATGAATGGGAAAGAATCAAACTCTCTGAAAAGCATCCGACTTACCTTTGATTCTTTTTCTCATTAAAAAGATAGAAAACCTAAGTATTTCCATTTGATTTACAAATTCATTTTCGTAGTTATATAGTGTTTTCTTTTCATTAACAGCTATTAAAACCCAAGGTTCTGAAATGCCATTCCAGCTAATAGAATTCTAACCAAAAGGGTATGAAATGTCATTATACCCATTTTCCTCAAAATAATAGATGTCATCTAAGGAGTAAATAAATCATCGAGGTTTTTCCTATATTATGTCACTGGCTGGTGAGGAGGTTGGTGGGGAAAGGGTAATTGCTATGAAGAACTCTTCCTACTTTATAACTTACATAACTGAAGATGATGTTGTTCTAAAGAAGTAGGAGTGTGGGAGAACAGTGAGGGAAATGCCTGTGGGACAACCTAGGTGGATGTTTGATGGGCAGGTAAATACATAGATTGAGGCCTTGGGAATGTTGAGTGGATGATATTGACTTTCAAGTCAGTAATGTAATGATAGAGATAATATACAGGGAAAGAAATATGATGATCAAAGGAGAAAGTGAACCTATGGTAGAGGAGTACACTGGGCAGGAGACACAAGAAGTGGAATATGGAGAAAGGAACAGGAACTCTTTCAGGAAATCTGGGAAGGAAGAAGTTCTAGGGAGAGAAAATGGGCAATAGTATCTAATTCTTGTTGTGCCCAAAATTGCGAATCTGAGAAACCACCAAGGAGCCACCAATGCAAGCGCACGAGGTTTTATTAGCAAGCTCGAGCTTGGGTCCAAGTATACCCGACACAGCAGAGCAGGAACTTGAACCCTGAAGTGGGTTACAGCTGGGTTTTTTATAGGCTGGTCTAGGGGATTTTCAGAAGGGGTGGAGGAATTTCTCAAGTTCTGTTTACATTCTGATAGATATGGGGCTTTCAAGGGCATTGAGCTCTGTTCTCATTCTTTTTTTTTTTTTTTTTTTTCTGTTCTCATTCTAATATGGGACTTTCTACCACGGAAGTGGGCTCTGTTGTTTTTCTGATATGGGATTCTCTGCTGAGGGCAATTCTGAGCTCTGTTGTCTTTCTGATATGGGATTCCCTGCCGAGGACATTGAGGACATTCTGTAGTTTTTCCCCATGAAGTTGAGATCTTATTCACAGGGGCCTAAGATGGCTGTACTTGTGCTAATGCTAAACTTTAGGTGGGATGGCCTTAATTTTTCTCGGCCTCCACAAATCTGAGGCATGGTTAATAAAACAACACTGAAACTGAAAAGTACTGTGGCCATTCAAACCTTGATTGAGTGTTGAGTGAATGGATTTGGTGGCCAAGAGATTATTGGTCATGTTTGTGGGCAGTGGAGGGGGTGGTAGCTTGCTATAGGGTGAGGTGTGAATTGGAGGCAAGGAACCTGACAGATGGAATGTAATCTACTCCTTTAAAACTTGAAGGAAAAGGAAGGGAAAGCTAGACTATCAGCTCATCAACTGGAATTTGAGCTCTAAGGGAAAGGGTTAACGTCTTTTCATTTTTTAGTGAAAAGTGAGTTCCCCACACTCAGTATATTTTGACCTAGTAAATAAGGACTGAATAAATCTGTTAGAGAAAAGGAAAGGTGAGAGGTTAGGGCATTGAGGGTATAGGCAGGAGAGCAGTTTAAATGATTTAGTCTGACCTGCTCCTTCTTTTCTCATTTCTCCAGATTCAAACCCTTGCTTGGTTCTACTATGCTTAACAGACACCTATAGGTGAGCAGGCCATTGGTTTTGGCCAGATTGTTGTCTGTACCCGTTACTGATGGTTTAAAAATCATTCCAAGGTACATGTTGAGAGTACCATGATTTACCCTTTCAATATGTATGCATTTTGATCACTTGGAAGTCTAAGAGAAATTCTCAATGAAAGGATTACTTCCTAGAACCTCCCCCTGCCTTATCTGACCCTCACCATAAAATAATCAGCTCCACTGAATTCCTCAGTCACTTCAACCATCCGTTCCACTGGCTCTCCACATGTAACCAAATTGTTTCCTATTTAAATTACGTTTGGTTGGTCTTAAATGGGAGGTTCTCAACTCTGACTGCACATTAAAGTCACACGGAGAGATTTTAAAAAATACGGATGCCCAGGTTATATCTAAAACTAATTAAATCCAGAATCTCTCAGTGTAATGCCTTGGTACTGGTATTACTTAAAGCTCCCTCAGAGATTCTGATGTGTAGTTAAGATTGAGAACTAATTTTCAAAACCCTCGTGGGGGTCCCAGAGCTAGGCAAATGGATTGAGCTGGCTATGTCCAATTGTCAGGCAGGAGCACCCCTTAGTAGGGAGGATGAGCTTGCCTTTTTTTATTAAGAGCAGAGGCAACACTCTCAGATGCAATTGTTATATTGATCTCAAGTTGATAGACTGCTTAGAATAAGCTGAGCTCCTGGGACAAGGTGTTCTTGCCTGAATAGACCTTTGACTCTATTGGATTTCTCCTGCCTTCTGGACAATTCTTACACTGCACAGCAGTGTTCTAGGGTGATGCTATTCAAGCTTGAAACATTTTTTTTTTTAGAACAATATTTCCAGATGAATTTCCATGCAGAAACTGAATATAAAAATGGATAAAAGTATAGTTTCTCTAGTTAAGTATAGTTTCCCATTCTGGCTGTTACTTCCTCCTGAGTTGCTCTGAGGCACTTCTGCTAACCTTAGGGTTTCTAGGAGCTCAGATTGGAAATTACCACTATAGGGTGATAGCAGCAATATCAGTAAAGAGCCAAAGACAACATTAGACAGAGTGTTTGCCCAATAGAATGACAAATCACTCTCATTGATAGTCGAGGCTGGGGATGCCAACATGCTTAGTGAGAATGCTAAGTGTAGAAGAAGCATCCAAGAAAAGAATTCAGCGCAAGAAAAACATAGGAAAGTAACCAGAATAGTGGGAAGATTAAAAAATCACATCATGGGAGAAATTGTTGAAAGAACAGGCAGTGTTAGGCCTGGCTAGAAAAAAAATGTGATTACTCTTCCAATATTTTTAGGACTGTCACATGCCAGTAGGTATGAAGCAGTTCTGTGTGGCTGCAGAAAGTAGAACATGCACCATTGGGTGGGAGGAAGCTTCCGGAAAAAGCGTTTGGTTCAATTTAAGAAGTTAGTTTTTAATATTATAATGACTCACCTCAGGAATGAGCAAGTTACTAATCTCTAGAGATATTGAGCCATTGACTAGATGACAAAGTCACTTATTTACTCCATCCTTTTCTCCCTTTCTCACATACCAGATGTGAAGACTCACATTAATTTAAGTAAAACTATAGTTTTTATCAAATAAAATTAAAATTTGAGTACCTATTATATGCTACATGAGTGATTCTACATGAGTGATTCCTAACTGCAGTGTTGACAGTAAGATGTATCACAATTAGCTATGAAATGTGTCATAAGAATTAATTTCTATTAACAAATCAACAAATTACTGAAGCTTGCAAATGATTTAAAATGCTTTAAAATGAATGACAAATTAGAATAGATTCAATGTTGTATGGACCTCCTGGTCACCTCCATTCTTCTATATTCTGGTAATGCATATTTGAGTGAAGAGTTGTGGGTTATTAGCTAAAGTGTCTAAAGTTAATTATAATGTATGTCATACCAAATTTAAGTTACAATCTAGAGTTAAGTCATCAATACTGATCTACCATGAAAAAGTGTGGTGCAATAAGAATTATTGTATTCTTGTGTGTTGCCTCTGACACCATTTGTTTTACTTTCCTGGAAATAGTTTTGTGTTAAGAGCCCCATGGCGAAGGGGCACCTGGGTGGCTCAGTGGTTGAGCATCTTGCCTTTGGCTTGGGGCATGATCCCAGGATCCTGGGATCGAGTCCCTCATCGGGCTCCCCGCAGGGCGCCTGCCTCTTCCTCTGCCTGTGTCTCTGTCTCTCTCATGAATAAATAAATAAAAGCTTTAAAAAAAAAAAAGCCCCATGGAGATGTGTCCTCGTGTGAATGTCATTTGTTCTAGTATTCATGTTAGATGAAATCTATAGGGTCCCTGCATCTGCCACAGTGGAAAGAGTAGCTAAATTGACAGAGCTTTGGAACTGGACATGCCTCCATGTGATGCCAGCAGTGCCATTTCTAACTTTGCCACCTTGGACAGGCCACTTAACCCCCCTGAGCATCGGCTTCCTTACCCATAAAAAATAGGGATTAACTTCCTTACAGGGTTACCTGGAGGTTGAGAGATAAGGAATGTACATATTAAGTATTTTTTTTAAAAAAAGAATAGATTCTGAGCAAATGATAGCTGTTGTTATTATTGA